GTGCAAGTCCCCGTGATATGTCATCCTTGTTAGTTTTTGATTATACCAACCTTTTCACCTTTGATCAACGATTAAAATTTACTTTAAGTGCCGTATATGCCACGGCGAATAGGCCAGACAAACTAGAGCGGTGGGGGAACACTGATATACCAGTGTTTGTTCTTAGTTCAAATTAATGTACTATAACACTTCAGCCAGCAAACTGGGGAGGGAGAGATTCAACAATGCTCCTCATCTTATATCAATAATAGGACAAGGTTACAAAGGACGACCGTACCTGATCGATTTAGTGGGAGCAAATTTAAATATCAATATATAAAGAACTCAGTAGTGTCGATCAATCAATAGCTGCATAATGCAGATGGTATACCAAACACGATAGGAATGACATCTCAATTTCATATATCAGGTGACAATATTTGATCTTGTTGGTGGCATAGAGTCCATGGACACTTAGACGGGCTCACCCAAAAGAAAAACCACACTCTATACCTTAGGATTCAACAAGTAAATGTTAACACTACAAGTTTCAAGTGACTAGCATAGTCATTCAGTTAAAGCAAAAGAGCCGAAAAGAAAGATTCAGCAAATATTGATACCTTGAAGGCCCATAGACCATACAAGTGCTTCAATTGAATCATCACTGCGCTACCAAAGTTCAATAATAGCCTTGAAAATTGGTCAGGCTACTCAGAATAGGCAAGAAAACGTTACTATATCCATCTTACCCAACTATTTAACTCATAATATCCGAGATCAGGTGAGTCAAGTCCATATGGGACAATATTTTATTTAGTAATGACTAAACTTTTTAGTTATTGAGGCTGGGAATATTCGTATTTCCTCTTCCCTTTTGATGACTCAAAAAAATACACTTTAACCTTTAATCAAGGTAGAGAAACATTCTTTCCCATCCAAAAAGACAAGCTAAAGGAGATCCTCTTCTTTTTTTTCTTCTTCTTAGCCATTCTGTCTCTCCTTCCAAATTCCATCATCTTCACCCTGGCCTCTTTTCCTTCTTTGTTCTTGCCGACCGTCCCATTCTGAAGAAACAAGTACTTGATTACACACAATGATTAACTTTCATGAGACTAGAGAAGTTTCTTGAATCAAGAGGGAAATCTCTGAATTAGTGGAATTAAGAAATTCCCTGAATGCAGGAAAACAAAGAGTGATTGGGTGCATACACATTTCTCCCCATACAAGGAACAGATACTTTTATGTACAATCAACTGTCATTAAGACCAAAAAAAATTCAGAAAGAATTATATTAAAGTGATGTTTCCTGTCTAGAACTATAGAGCCATTTTAGGAAAAGTTAAGTTTCTAGGTTTGAGTTATCATCCCACACGATAAATATCATCGTCGTTGTGTTGACACCTATAAATAGAACAATCTTGTATTCAGTAAATCATCAAATCATCATAAATACTTTTATTTATCTACTTTTCTCACATGGGAGCAAATATTTATTGTCAGAAGAATTAAGAAACTCTGGAAGGAGGAATAAGGACCACTTGTCTTCTATGAAATTTAGTTTTCTCAACCATTCCGAGGAAACAAGGCACTTCGAAGAGAGACTGTCACTGACTAAATCAGTGAACTTAAATTCCTTGGA